CCGACAAGCCTCGTTGCTCATAAGAGTCTTCAGCTTCTTTGGAGTGCCCTGTTAAACCTCCTCCTGGATGGATGGGGTAGGAGTACAACTTCAATATAAGGTGTTTTGCATGATGTCAAAATCTGGAAAGATGGCACGAGGATAAAATTAATTGTATCTCCTTGTCTTGTAGCACTCCTCGGCATCATAGGTCTTAGGAATCATGAAAAAACACTTAGGTAATCTCATTGAAAAACACTTTCCGCACTTTTTTCATTGCAAGTTATGACACATTCAATTTTCAGGTCGACACATATAACTCAGCATTTAAGCCTGTAAGTTTCTATAAGTCCTAGGTTAACACATAGAGCCTTCAGGTCGACGCATACTAAAAAAATTCTGAAATTGCAGAAATTCTTATTTTATGTGTCGACACATCCATATTTCAGGTCAAAATATTTAGTCACGTTTTAAAGCATGTAGCTACTAACTTGTTCAGATCGACACATAGAGTCTTTCAGATGGACACATACGAGTTTGAGGTCGACATCTATTTTGGTCACAACAAAATTTATTTTATTCTGAATTTGTCATTTTCCCCCTAAACTTTTCCAAACTATAAATACCCATTCATGCATTATTTCTAACTCGATGATACCATAAAATTAACCTACTTTTTCTCTTCATCTTCAACCTTCCAATCTATGCATGCACACCAATATTACATTGTGATAATGTTTCGTCGGGGTGCCATCTAGAGGAAGAATTGTGGATTTCCAATAGGTTTGGATTGAGTTGTTGTAGGGGTCTTCATGTGGAGAAACCATCGGGTTTGTCCTCCAACATCATTTGTTGAATTTGGGGTTTTTGTGCAAGATCATGCGAGAAGGAATCATCTATGTGAAAAATCCATTAGAGTGTTTGAAATATTTTCAAGGAACCTTAGAGTGATTGAAATCATTTTAAGGAAGTAGCAAGAATTGGATGATAGAATCGGTGATCTTGTGTTGATAGTTTGCAGTCAAATTTAATCGAGTGAAAAAACCCTTGGAGTGTTTGAAATCTTTGCAAAGAACCTTAGGGTGTTTGAAATTCTTTTAAGGAAGTAGCTTAAGCGGTGAATAGGTTGCATATATCAGTTGATTTGGTCTTTCTTAAGATTAAAGGTTGGAAGAAGGAGCATCAACACCAAATTGGAGAATTTTGTATTGTTGTTTCTAACTCTTCCATTGTATTAAACATTTTCCATATAAGAATTATCCTAGTTCCATTGGAATTAGGCGTAGACATACCCACACGCGAGGATGACAGTGGGGAACTTTGTAAACAAATTTTTTGTGTGTTTTTACTTTTTCGCTTTTACTCACTTTAAATTTCATCAATATTTTTATGAAATAGCATTGTGATAGTAATTGAATTGTAAGCATTTTTCTCCCAAAATCTGTTTTTGAAATAGGGGTGGATATAGCTTATAACCAATTTTTATTATAAGTGGTTTTGTATATCAACACTACTCAAAGAGAAATTCTAAAAATTTACTTGCACGCCAAGTGTTTGATAAAACGATCAAGTTAGTTCTATGATAATTTATCCTTGGAAATAGCATTGCAAAGTGATTGTGTTCAAACAATAAATAAGTGGATTGTTGATTTGAGTTTGTATCAATCTATTACTCAATTTTGTCTCATAGATTTATCTTTCATACTTTGTATATCCGAGTTTTCAATAAGTTGTTTTTAGACGACTTATCTAGTTAATAGCTTTCGCATCAAAATGTTTTGAAAACAAATTAATTTCTAGATTTGTGCCTAGAAATATTTTTGTGCATCTATTCACCCCCCCCCCCCCCCTCTAGTGCGTGCCATCGACTAACATGGGGAAAAGACTTGGGGCTCGACCATGCTTGAGGTAGCCTTAGAGCCTGTCACCTTATGCTTCTTCAAAGCCCGAGTTTCTAACCCAGAAAGGTCTGACCTAATCACAGAGGGTTCACCAGCTCCTTTCCGGGCAGCTCTAGCCTCCAGCATCAGTTTCTTTTATTTGGCTACGGAGAGATCTGTCAACTTATATGTGATGAAGGAAAAAGATAATATGAGTATTATCCATAAATGTGAATGATTGCTAAACCAAAAATGAAAGCTATTACCAAGAAAATCAGGAATCTGTTCGTCGGTTAGGGACAACAGAACTTTAACTTTCATCATTTGGAATAAGTCGAGTACGGTCAGAGCCTGGACTTCTAAGATGTACAAGACCTGGGGGAATCTCGACCCATATTTTACCTTCAGGAACCGTTCCTTGAAACCCTTATAGTTGGTGGTATACACTTGGAGAAAACTCCTGTGGGGAAGACCGTATATTTGGATACAAGAAAGCTTCTCGGATCCTATTATCTCATAAAAGGAAAAGAACAAACCCACTGTGGAAACGATGTTCATTGCCTCACAAACTATTTCAAAGGCCTTTATGAACCCCCAACTGTTATGACGAAGTTGCGAAGGCGCGGCATACATGACCTTCAGTATGTCGGCCTCAAATTAAGAAAATGGTATACGGATTCTAAAGTCCTCCAAAACCCCGACATAAAAATATAAAAAAAATCTTCATCAGTGACCTTCCGAAAAAGTATACACACACATTCTTCTGAGACACATGACTCTAGGATAACATCACCTTCTTCCTCAGTTGAGGAGACATTTATCAGGGACTGAAGTTTGGTGATCTTCGTGTCGTCAAGCATGGTATTCTTGTAGCCTATGACTTCAAGGTCGAAGGGGGAAGACGCTTTCATCAGAAATTCTACAGAACCTGAGAAGGAAGAATCATAGTCAGAATCACTCAAAGAGGTGAAGGTAAAATCATAAACTTTCCTTGTGATCTGATTAAACTCCTCCTGACCTAAAGCGTCTTTCACCTCTCGCGTGCATTGGTCCTATAATTCCTTCTTCTCTTTGGCATTTGTGGGTTTTATAATATTCCCCTCATCATCATACTCTCTTAGGATAACCATTATCTAAAGATCAATTATAGAATTCAAATCTTGTTCTAACATCGTCATGATGGATTTTATGATGGTAGAGGTATTCAAGGTTTAAATATTAAGACATTTAGTTGAAAAGTAGTTCTTCAAGCACATTTTTATATATTGAATAACCTTAGTGAAGTTGATTCTTACTTGACCGCGCACAAAGCTCTTTTAAAGGAAAAATACCCCCCAGATGTGAAAAATGATTGCTGACGGAGCATAACAGAACTTTCATAGATTGGTTTAAGGAAAGTATTTCTAAAGAGGGTGGTGCATCAGATAATTGCAAATGGTTGTCATGTATGCCTAAGTTTAATGTAATTACTTAGAGTGCATACGACATTAGAAAATATCCGTTCTATATAAAACCAAAGGATTATTGTAGCACCATGCAAAATAGTGATGTTATGGTTGAGGTTGAATCCATGTACTTTTCTAGTTTCAAAGATGACAATTCAGTACTATCATCTAGTTCGTACTTTGGGATCATTGAGGAGATTTTGGAGATTGATTATGTTTCTTTTAAAGTGCATTTATTTAAGTGCGGGTGGATTGATAATAAAACTAGTGTAGAAATCGATGAATTAGGATTCACAATGATTGATCTTTGAAAGACAACTTACAAGAACGAACCATTCATCATGGGAAACCAAGTAAAACAAGTTTTTTATGTCACTGATCCATCTATCACTAGATGATCAATTGTTCTTTAAGGAAAACATCTTCCCGATAATACTGATGAAAATCAAGATTTTAACTATGAGACTCATTGTTTAGTAACACGTGTACGTCAATCATCTAAAGAAAATGATTTAGATGATGTGCATGTTATTCGCCGTGATCATGAAGAGGGTATATGAGAAAACTAGTAAGTAAATGGTTTATTGCTTTTGTTTCTTAATAATTTGTTTTAGTTTTGATGTAAAATTATAAAGTGTGTGCCATTTTGGATTTGCATTTGGTGTAATCAATGAATATTTCTGTTTTAGATTGAGGAATTGACAAAATGTATAATGTCTCTGTTTCAGGAATCTGTAGAATATGATTTTGTATTCTGTAATATGGTTCTGTAATTCAGGTGCAGACGACAGTAAAAAAAATTAAATGTTAACCCCTCGGTTTTCAAATTAAACCGAGGTAAGAATATTGATATATTACCTCGGTTCTTCAAAACACCGAGTGTTAACATTGGACGCGCCATCCTGTTCTAAAAATAATAAAAATATTGATGCTGAGAATCGAACACACGTGCAGTTAACTTCACCCCTCAGTGTTTTAATATCCGAAGTGATAAGGAGTGACCTTTTATGACATCCATCTTTACCTCATTTCCATAACCGACATCAGACGTATTTCGCATCCGACGTAAGATATATTTTTTATAGGAATGAATCTTATTACATCAAAGATTTCACGAATCCACTATTTATTTTCTATTTCACTCTGGAATAAATACCAAGATAAATTGAAATTTTCGACTAGTAGTGAAATTAGTGAATTATATTATTGATAAACTCTAAATTTCTTAATGCAACACTTCAAATTCGACTTATGGTCAATAACAAACTAAAAAAGGAACAAACAAGTAACATGGGGAAAACATACTAAGACATAGGACAAGAATTAGTATACAAATCCTTTTTTTTCTTCTTCATTCCTAATTATGTGACCATCAATATTAACACACGAATGGTTACAATTTTCACAAGAACCGAAAAGGAAATGAAAAAAATAATGTTAACAAACCAAATTCCTAGCACATCTTGACATTTCTCAAAAGTTAGTTTGTCTTGTTTTGACCCCTCCCCCCTTTTTATACTTTTTTTTCCACCTCTGACCCATTAACCTATATATCCTCCCAACCAATGAAACCATAATACAATTTACTATGTGCAATCCATGATAATTAAGCCATCAACAATTCAACCCCCAAGAAAAACATAGGGCTAAAAACAAATAAACCCTTTGTTTTTTGGCTAGTAATAATCAACCACAACTATTGTGTAACAGAAACAAATGAATCACGCCTCTTCTTAGTATGAGCTTCTGGATTTCCTTTTCTCATCATTGCCGCAAACTCATCATAGTTTATACGTCCATCCTGCATGCAATCGTTATCATGTCATATTCTCATCAACCATAGATATACTCTTTAGAAATTTAAACACACTTACATTATCTCCATCAACTTCTTGAAGAATATCCTTGATGTCTCTTCCATCATGCATATTGTATTCACGGAGTGCTTGATCTAGTTCTTCAGTAGTAATGAACCTGCACGTTATACAAATAATGAGATCAAAGATTCAAAACCTAACCCAACACACCAAGTAGAGTTTACAATGGAGTTGTTTATTTACCCGCTGTTATCTTTATCAAAATATTGGAATGCAGTGTAAAGATGTTCTTCTCTATTCATTCTGTTCATATGCATTGTTGCTGTGATGAACTCGTCGTAATCTATCGTTCCATTACCATCAGCATCAGCCTGAGAAAAAAGTTATGTGTTAAATAATCACACTACTATATATACTTAGATGTTTTTAATCATAGTTCTAAATTGGTAGGGATGATAGATAATTTACAGCTTCCATTAATTGTTGAACTTCTTGTTCTGAAAGCTTAGTTCCTTGCTGTTGAAGGCCTAGTTTGAGTTCTTCAACGGTAATGGTTCCACTGTTGTCAGTGTCCATCCCCTTGAACATTTCTTTCAACCCCATGATTTCTTCTTCTGATAAACATCCAGCAATAACCTATTCATTGTTACCATTATAGTTAATAATTAATATTTCATGGATAATAAGAGTTAGAATTGATTAAGAAAACATAGAAATTATGAAAAAGTAAAATTACCCTTAGAGCAACTTTCTTAAATTGGTTCATTGCTCTGAACTGCTTGAGTCTGCCCAACACAGCATTGTCAATAGGTTTATCTGGTGCTTCTCCATCCTCCTTGGTCCAAGGATGATCTATAAATATATTTTAAGCAAAAAAAAATCAACAAGTTAGCTAGTAAAATCATGAAAAATTAAAGTGAAGGATAAAAGATGGTTGTTGTTACCCAAAACTTCTTGTGCTGTAAGTCTTTGTTTGGGATCTGAATTCAACATTTTCCTTACAAGATCTTTTGCTGCGGGTGAAATTGAAGGCCATGGATCGCTTTGAAAGTCAATGTGTCCTCTTAATATGGCATTGAATATTCCATGTTCAGATTCTGTCAAATCAGTTATTTGTATTAGAAGCAATAAATTGACGATAAATTGAAGAATATTGAAGATGAAGTATAAATTAAACCTGCCCAAAAAGGAGGGACACCACTAAGAAGAATGTATAGCATAACACCAATACTCCATATGTCAACTTCTGGTCCATATCTCCTCTTCAACACCTCTGGTGCTATGTAATATGCACTCCCAACAATATCTTTGAACATATCTCCTGCGTAAAAGGTTCAACATCGGTATTAAAATCTCACATTCATAACAAAATAGAGAAATGATGCTGAATTAGTATCAGAAAATGAACCTTGTTTAAAAAAGACGGAGAGACCAAAATCGGTGGCTTTAAGAGGTGCATTTTCATCCTTACTCAACAAGAGGAAATTTTCAGGTTTAAGATCTCTATGAATGACACCCATTGAATGCAAAGTATGAATAATTTGGACAATGGTCCTCAACAATGAAGCTGCAGCACGTTCTGTATAGAGTCCTTTTGCGATGATTCGATCAAATAGTTCACCACCGGCGCATAATTCCATAACCAAATGAACAGATTGTTTGTCTTCATATGCACCTTTTAATTCCACAATGTTTGGTTGACCTGTTAGATGATGCATTATTTGCACCTCCCTTCTAACATCTTCTATATCCTCTTTATTCACTAGTTTTCTCTTGGCAATTGTTTTGCATGCAAATTGTTCTTTTGTCACCTTATTTGTACACAAATGTGTCACCCCAAATTGTCCTCTCCCTAGCTCTTTCCCTATGGTGTAGGTAGCTCTCACGTCTTCCATTGGTCGTTGTAAAACGGGGCCCATAGCAGCCGGTTTGGAGGGTTTTGCTGGAGGTGGTGTGTTGGTGGCTGGTGGTTTGGAGGTTGGAGGTGGCGTAGTTATAGGGTTAGTGGATGGCTCGTTATCATTATTATTATTGGTGTTTTCTTGGTTGGTTTCTCCCTTGTCCGCGGCGGCAGTGTTATCGGCCGGGGTATCTCCGCCTTGGGAGCAACAATTTCCCATGGTGGAAGGGAGAGAGGTAAAACAAAAATGTATGAAGGAAAGAGAAACAGGAAAAGAAAATGAGTTTGAGCTATAAGATGAAAATATGGCAAAGGAGGGTGATTGGTGAATAATGAATGGGTTTAAGGGGTTGAATGATTTGTCATTTGACAAAAAAAAAATTAAAAATTAAAAATTTTAAAAAGATAAAAATAAATGGTTTAATTAGTTGATTCACAGCTTGGAATGTTGGTGAAATTTTAATCAAATTATTGATAGTGAGAGATTGTAGGAGGGTGCAATTGAAAGAGTCTTTGGCGTGTGCATTGCGTGGTAATTGAGACAAAGGTCAAGAGAATTTTTCGGATGCTCTCAAGGTTTATCTTTTAATATTGTTATCTATCTGTTGCCAACATATTGTTGTTACTACTACTACCAAGTTATGGAAGTTTTATTTCATGACGAGGAGGAGGGAAACAAAAGTGATGTTTTCAAAGAGGGCAAAAACTGTAGAAGGGTTACTTATATCAATAGGAAGAAATACAACTACAACTAAGTTGTTAAAAAAGACCATCATATAACGCCTAATTGAATCGAAATTAAAATAATCAAATTGTTATGTTTGGTTAGTGAATCCAAATTATATTACACAAATAGTTTTAAGATCGAACTGAAATTGAATCGAAACTGAAACCGAATCAAAATTGAAAATAAAAAATACTAAAGATAAATTTTAGTTTAAAAAAAATATAGTTTAACGGTTCGGTTATGTAATAAACGGTTAGGTTCGGAAAAAATTGTCTTTTAACAGTTTGGTACGGTTTGAAATTTTGAAACGATATACCAAATCAATAATTTTAATTCAATTCTATTCTAAGTAAATTGAAACAGTTTAAGTGAAAGTTTACTATAATTTAGTTCGGTTCGATTTTGTTTTCTCTCTGAATTGTACCATGAGCCGCCCTAATTACAACCTAATGCACAAGAATGTTTATGTCATGTAAATGCATACAAACTGATTTGGGTCGGGCTGACACAGGGCCCACATGTTGACAGGTCTAATACCAGCGCCTCTGCATATGACCCAATAGCTTCAGGTCCAAGTCAAATAGTTGTTGAAGATTTCTCCTACGTGCCCATTAAAGAACGTGGTCAACAGTCACATCAACCGCCACTTTCCCTCTGAGAATAACGGATCCACTGTCTCTATATTTTCGAGGCGCTTTACCAGGGAGGGAGCCACGTGTTGGATCCCGTTACCCATGTAACCCTGACAGTCTTTGTTATTAGGTACAAATCACTTGGTCCATTACATGGATCTTGACTCAGTATTGGGGCTATAAATATCCTCTCACATGAAAGAGTCGGGTATTCATTCCTTTTATCTTACTTTTGTTACTTACACTCTGATTGTCTAGACTCTTACTTTGACATCGGAGTATCTTGCAGATACCTCTATTTCACATTCAACCGCTGTTCAACTTGAAATTCGTGAACCTTTTTAAAACATTACACATAATTAATATCAATATTTTTCTAGGTAACAAAAACTAGATTGGACCGGCCGATTAAACTAATTAAACTGGAAATCGGACCATAGTCCGATCCATTTGGTCCACAAAACCGCTAGTGCATAAAATCGGATGAAGAGCCGGTCAAAACCCAATAAAATCGAACAAACTGCGGATTCACGTGGTTTTAAAGGTCTAACAGTAGTTGGATTTTTTTTTTTTGCGTTTGGATTTTTTTTTTTTTGCTTTTGGAAGTAAATACACTACTTGAATTTAGAAAGTGAATCATTGAAGCTTCATCAAACCAATCCAATGAATTTGAGACGAAATACACTTTAAATTGCCAAAACAAATTCTACAGATCGGAAAGAATTTAATTATGAAAGAATTGGTATTATGAATAGAAAAATATATAAATCTAATAGAAAATAAAACTGCAGAAGAAAGGCAATGATAAGAAAGAATGAAGAAGAGTAAGAAGAAGAAAAGTAAGACACGTGAGTTTGATGAAAAAAGTGAGGGCGACTAATTCTATTTCATGAAAGTTGCATACCTTTGGTTATAATATAGGGTTTTATTATGAATTGGACTTGTAGAAAAAAACTCATGTATAATTTTTAGATAGTTTTTTTTGGATTCTTCACCACCGATAAAGTTCGATTTGAAAGTCAGTTCTAGTATAAGGTATTTTCAACCCTTTTCTATTTTTAGATAGTTTTAATTACATTGATCATTAAATTTAAAGAAGAAAAAGACTTGCGGTGCATAAATATAAAATTGTTATTTATTTAATTATGAGTTTTGTTTATTCATCTATTATATGTTAAATTGTAATTTAGTGTATCGAAACTATGTGTCGAAAAGATTTGATTTGTTTTAGATTTAAATAGATTTGATTTAAGTCTAGAATAGATTTGATTTGATTTAGTAACAAAATAGATATTTTGGGCTTTGGACTTAAGGTGTAAGCTCAGTTATAAATAGAGGGAGTAACCCCTATTTTTTGTAAGCAAGTCAAGCAAGTCATTCACAGTATTTTGCAGTTACAAAGTAAATAATAAAGCTTTCGCAATTTGTGAGCAGAGAGAAACTCTGCAGAGCAGAGAGAAACTCTGCAGACATTATTTGTCTTGTCTTCTTTTCTTTGTTTGTCTCATAATTAAATTGTCATTGTGGTAGAAATTTATCATAGAATTTGGTGGATTTCTAACATCTGGTATCAAGAGCTTTGTTTCGATTCAAGGGAAGTATCAATCAAGAACGATTGAAGAATTCACAATAACAAGTTATGGGAATGCAAATTATCCATCAACTCTACCAATTCTAAAAGTAGACAACTATGAGAATTTGTGCAAACAGATGAAAGTCTTATTCAGGTGTCAAGGTCTTTGGGATCTTGTAAAAGATAGAGTCGAAGCGCTTGGAGAAAACGCTTCAAAAGAAGAAAAGAAGAAATACACGGAATCTGAGAAGCTGAGTTATAAAGCATTATTTATAATTCATCAATGTGTCAGCCCAAACAAATTTCGAAAAGGTTAGTGATTCAGAATCTGCAAAAGAAGCTTGGGAAATCCTTGAGAAGTCTTTTAGAGGCGCTGAGAAGGTGAAAGAAGTGAGGTTTCAAACTCACAAAAGGACGTACGGACTGCTTCAGATGGAAGACAGTGAAAGCATATCTGATTTCTTCACTAGAGTTACAAAACTAGTAAATCAAATCAAGATATGTGGAGAAACGTTAACAACAAGAGCTGTTGTTTCGAAGATCTTGAGATCTTTAACTCCTAAGTTCAATCACATAGTGGTGGCGATAGAAGAGGGGAAAGACTTGTCGAAATTGACAAAGGAATAGCTTCAAGGGACGCTTGAATCTCATGAGCAAAGAATGAATGAAAGAGTTGCTGGCAAATCGAAGAGTGATGTGGCCTTGCAGGCACATTCAACAAAAGAAACCAAAGGCAAAGGAAAGTGTTTCGACAGAGGTAGAGGTGGCTACAACAAATCGAATGGTAGAGGAAACCAAATCGAAGGAAACATGTCGAATCAAAGAAGACCATAACAAGGAAACCAAAGGGGTGGTGTTGCAAATAGAGGAAGAGGTGGTGGTCGAAAACCTGATAAGAGTCACATTCAATGTTACAATTGTCAAAAGTATGGTCATTATTCGAGTGATTGTCCAGAAAAACCAAAGAATCAAGAAAGTGATGCAAAGCTTGCAAAACATGAAGAAGAAGAAGAAGAAGAAGAAGAAGAAGAAGAAGAAGAAGAAGAAGAAGAAGAAGAAGAGATGATGTTGATGGTCACAACAAAAGAAGAAGAAGAAGAGATGATGTTGATGGTCACAATAAAAGATGAAGATAGATTCAAGGACCAATGGTACTTGGATTCAGGATGTTCATCACATATGTCTGAAAGGAAAGACTGGTTTGTCAATATAAAGCCCTCAATGAAAAATATGGTAAAATTTGCAAATGACAATACCCTAGCAGTTGAAGGTATTGGTGATGTTATGATTATGAGGAAAGATGGCAAGAGGTCAGTAATTTCCAATGTATTGTACATACCAGACATGAAGAGCAATTTGCTTAGTATAGGGCAGTTGGTCGAAAAGAATTATAAAGTGTCAATCGAAGATAAGATGATGAGATTCGTTGATGCAAATGGAAGATTAACCTTGAAGGCTCATATGTCTCAGAATCGAACCTTCAAGATTGAACTAAATGTGATGGAGCACAAGTGCCTTTCGATTGCAGCTAGCAGAGATGAATGGATATGGCATTATAGACTAGGCCATCTCAACTTCAGAGATATCAGAGATTTGAAGAGAAAAAATATGATTTCAGGATTTCCTGAAATTGACATTCCAAATGAAGTATGTGAGGAATGTGTGCAGGCGAAGAAACACAAGAATAGCTTCAGCAAGGATGTAGGAAGCAGATCGAAGGCTATTCTTGAAGTCATATACTCTGATGTATGTGGACCAATCCAGGTGGATTCGATGGGATGTAACAAATACTTTGTTACATTCATAGATGATTTCAGTCGAAAGTTATGGACTTATCTGATCAAGAAGAAAAGTGAAGTGATCGAAGTATTTGCCAAGTTTAAGTCTATGGTCGAAATACAAAGTGGTCGAAAGCTCAAAGTTTTGAGAACTGATGGTGGTGGAGAATATGTGTCGAAAGATTTCGATAGGCTATGTGAAAAGGAAGGGATTATGCATGAGGTGGTGCCACCCTATACTCCACAACAAAATGGAATTGCAGAAAGGAAGAATCTAACCATCATGAATATGGTGAGAAGTATGTTGAAAGACAAGAATTTACCTAAAGAGTTTTGGGGTGAAGTTGTTTCAACTGCAACATACATTTTGAACAGATGTCCTACAAAGAAGCTAAAAGGAATTACTCTAGAAGAATGTTGGTCTGGTGTGAAGCCTAGCTTGAGTCATCTAAAGATATTTTGATCTATTGCACATAGACATGTGGCTGATCAGTTGAGAAGAAAACTTAA